AGGAGATCATAACCTTGCAGGTATTTTCTGGCTAGGTTTCTTTTAGCCAAAGGCAATTCTCAGGAGAAGGGTGCAGCTGTGAGATGGTAGCAGCCAGGACTCACAGCAGCTGGGGTTTGGGTGCATTAGCCTGGTTAAAGGCACCTTGGCAGGACACCAACAGTATCTACTACACTCTGCTGTACAGTAAACCCTCTGTATTGGCAGGATCCGCATTTGCGGATTCAATCAGCTGCATGTTGAAAATATTTAGAAAATCTGGAAAAAGCCTTCTTGCCAGAATAAAAGAAAAAAATAAAATAAATAAAATATTTTGAAAAAAGAACAATAAAAAATAACAAATCAACAATAAAAAATAATACAAATTAAAAATACAGTACAACAACTATTTACATAGCATTTACATTGTATTAGGTATTATAAGTAATCTAGAGATGATTTAAAGTATACAGGAGGATGTGTGTAGATTATATGCAAATAGTGCTTCATTTTATATAAAGGACTTTAGCATCTGCAGATTTTGGTATCCTCAGGGGATCCTGGAACCAATTCCCAGTGGATACCAAGGGACAACTGTAGTCTCTTCTTCATATAACACTCTTCTGGGAACCTTCCATTAACTTCCTATGACATTTAGAATAAAATCCAAACCCTTTATCTTGACCTGCACAATCTGGCCCCTTCCTACTTCTTTGGCTTTAACCACATATACTCTCTATCTAAACTTTATTTCTTTTTCTCAGACATGCCAGGCCCATTCTCACCTCAGAGACTTTGTACTTGGTTTTCATTCTGCCTGGAATACTCTTTCCCCAGATTTTCAAAACTAACTTCTTATCATGCAGGCCTCTCGATTCAGACATCATCTTTTCAGAGGGCCTTCCATTGTCAGTCTCTCCTGAAGAGGCTGTGAGCTGTACAAGTAGCCCTGTCCCTTCACAGCTGTCACCTTAGTGCCTTGATGTGTGAACACTCAATAAATATCATTGAATGAATGAGCAATTGGTTGAGGAGAAATGAATAAGCAGTAAGAATTCAAGTTCTCCCTGAGACAATAGATAACTGTGAAAGAAGTGGAAATAATGATAGAGATAAGAACTATGGAGGGACCCAGCATGGTGGCTCATGCCTGTAATCTTAACATTTTGGGAGGCAGAAGTGGGAGGATTGCTTGAAACCTGGAGTTCAAGACCAGCCTGGGAAAGCAAGACCCTGTCTCCACAAAAACAATTTTAAAAATTAACTGGGCATGGTGATGTGCACCTGGAGGAGGATCACATGAGCTCAGGAGTTTGAGGTTGCAATTAGCTATGATGACACCACTGCAGTCTAGACTGGGCAACAGAGTGAGACGCTGTGTCAAAACAACAACAAAAATCCAAAACGAAACAAAACAAAACTGTGAAGGGTAAGTCCATTTGTGCAGAAAGATATTAAATTTTGCTTTAGTCATATTTAATTTGAGATAATGGCAGAACATTTATGGTGGAGGCAGATAGTATAGTGATTAGGCGCACAGTTTCTTGAGCTAAATTCATATTCAGGCCGGGCGCGGTGGCTCACGCCTGTAATCCTAGCACTCTGGGAGGCTGAGGCGGGCGGATTGTTTGAGGTCAGGAGTTCAAAACCAGCCTGAGCAAGAGCAAGACCCCGTCTCTACTATAAATAGAAAGAAATTAATTGGCTAACTAATATATAGAGAAAAAATTAGCCGGGCATGGTGGTGCATGCCTGTAGTCCCAGCTACTCGGGAGGCTGAGGCAGCAGGATTGCTTGAGCCCAGGAGTTTGAGGTTGCTGTGAGCTAGACTGACACCACTGCACTCACTCTAGCCTGGGCAACAAAGCAAGACCCTGTCTCAAAAAAATAAATAAATAAAATAAAATAAAATGTAAATAAATAAATTCATATTCAGGACCACTGTATACCAGCTGCAAGATCTAGGGGAAGTTAGCTCCTATGTGCCTCAGTTTCCTCACCTGTAAATAAGGAAAATATTACCTATCTCATAAAGTTATTGAGAGGACAAAATGAACTAATAAATAAACAGTGTTTGGCTAATAGTAAGCACTGTTTTAGTGAAATTAAGGAGTTCTGTATATAGAGGAGACAGTGAACACCAGGGTGGGGTGAGTGAAACATATGAGACAAAATTTGAGGAGGCACCAGCTCCAAGGGTTGTGTGATAGCCCTGCTCAGGCTTCCTTAAATTTTATCTCATTGGCCCTTCACTCCCCTTCACCCTAGTTCCAGCCATCATTGAAGTAATCAAAGGGGAAAACTCTTTATGGGTAAGAGTCTCTAAATCTGGGCCTTGGTAGGAGTGGGTTTTTACTATTGCAAATCTCTGTATTGCTTCCCCATCCTTTGGTTGCTGCTTATCCTTTCCATCACTTACGTGACCAATTTCCTGCAGTCAGTGCACTTTGCTCAGATATTCTGAGTAGATTGTTTTCCTGGTTGATCCCTGGCTAATGTAACAATTAATATATTCTAGAGCTCCATAATAAATAATAGGATTTCAGGGAGGTAGGTGAAATAGCTAACATTTATGGTATAACTTCAGTATGTTAGGTACATTTACATACAAGATATTTAATCCTCAGCAGGTGGTGGAGTGATGTCCACTAGAGATCTTGTAGATGAAAAATCTGAAATTCAAGACAGTATAAAGCATCTAGGGTCACTACAAAACAGAGCTGGGATTCAAACCTAGTTTGAAGGTAGAGTTTATACCCTTTACACCAGGCATCCTCAAACTTTTTAAACAGGGGGCCAGTTCACTGTCCCCCAGACCGTTGGAGGGCCATTAGAGAGTGTGGCGCACATTCCACACATGCGCACCGTGGGCCTGGGACTAGGCTGCTAAGCAAGACAGGCAGCGGCGGCAAAAATGCCCCACGGACTGGATAAATGTCCTCGGTGGGCCCCATGTGGCCCGCAGGCCATAGTTTGAGGACGCCTGCTTTACACTATTCAAAGCATCTGGGGGCATCCAGATTGTGTGTAAACTCCCATTAAACTGCAAAAATTTGTTAGCTTTTTTTTTCTAGTGAGAGGTTTTTTTTTATTTTCAGAGACCATGAGACTTCTTTCTTTCTTCTGTATTTATTGAGATGAAGTTTACATAATGTAAAATTAATAATATCAAAGTGAACAATTCAGTAGCATTTAGTATACTCACAATGTTATATACCATCACCTCTATCTAGTTCCAAAATATTTCTATCATTCCAAAATAAAACCCCTTACTCGTTAAGTTTCTCTCCATTCGCCCGTCCTCTCTGCTCCTGGCAATCATCCTTTACCTATTCTGGATATTTCATGTAAATGGAATTCTACAATATGCCCCCTTTTATGTCTGGCTTCTTTTACTTAGTATAATGTTTTCAAGGTTCATCCATATTGTAGCAAGTATCAGTACCTCATTCCTTTTTGTGCCTGAATAATATTCCATTATATGAATACATATTGTACCACATTTTGGCTATTGTGAATAGTGCTTCTGTGAACATGTATGTACATGTTTGGATATATTAAATATGTTTTGGATATATTAAATTTTTGTTTATTTTTTAATTTATTTTTTAGCCACCTGCTTGAGGATCTTTTGGATATATATGAACTTATTAACTTAGAGCTCATTTTTCTAATTCTAATTCCTATCAATTTCAGATTACAAAATAAAAAAATACAGTAACTAATTTCTGTTAAAAATATTTTTTCTTTTTGAAGCCTCATTACATCTGTAGCCTTATAATCTGGTTTTAATTTACTCTGCAAGTTTTGCTCCTCTTTCTGCCCACAGTACATATGTTTGTATGTGTGTATATGTGTGTGGGTGACAGAGAGAGAGAGAGAGAGAGAACAGAGGTGTTTTTTTGAACATGTGATATAGCCATTCTGAAACTTGAAGATGATTTACTACTACCGGTTGATGTTTCATGTTAATATTAGCAGATTTTATGTAAAGCACCATTTCTAGGTCAAAGAGACCAAGCTTTTTTCAAAAGTGCTAACACAGAAGGGTTATTTGGAAGTTTGGGCAAACAAATAAATGTAGCTATTTACAGTTATAGGTAAATAAAATTATGTTTCTTTCATTAGAACAAATAAGAGCAGATGAGGGAGGGATCATTGTATTTTGTAATTTTTATGAGAAGAAAACATCTAAAATAAATTGTATGCACAAATAAAATAAGCAACTCAGGTGAAAATTATTTATTTATGAAACAAAACCTCTTAAAGAGAAAAGAATGCTGACAGCAACTTAGTATGCAATATACTGCACTCCTGCTCTTATCTAACATTTTCAAAGTCATATACAGTAATTTAGTTGCACTCCCATTAGTATTAGTGTGAGCTTTGAAACTTAAATTCCTGCACACAGATTTGAAAATGTGTAGGTTAAAGTAAACTGTTAATGAAAAACTGTTTTTCACTTTAGTCAAATAGTTTAAATCTCTCACCAGAGATGTCCTAGAAGGCACCTTCATCCTAGTCATAGAAGAGTTATAGTGTAGGGTCACCATTTGGAGGTCATCACCTTTAAAGCAACATGGATAATAAACCATATTAGAGAGGAAAAAAAGTGTTTCCCAACCGTAAAGAACACAGAAGTTCAGGACCCATGTTGTTCAATAGTAAGCAAAGGACACTGGACCTTTGCAATGGACCCTTTCAGCTGTGTGCATCTGATCACTGATAGAGGCATGCTAAGGTGAATTTTAATTAGGACTAAATTGTGGTATTACTCTTTCATACCCTGAACATCTGTTCCCTTCAGAAATGATGATTTATGCAGGCTATCAGAGCAGACAGCTTGCTACAGCTTATGTCACGGTTAGTGGGAAGCTGGTGGTAGCATTTCAGAAAACCAGCATCTAAATGGAGACTGGCCAGTGTATATCATACAGGTAATAGGGGGAGGGAAGCATGATGTGTCCATTTTAAATTTTGAAGCCAAATATTGACTTGACTTTAAAAAAAATATCTTCTAGACCATCTGTTGTTAATGAAGAAAGTAACTTGGACAATGAATGGGTTGATGCTTCCTACTGTCAAAAGACGGAAAACCAAGCCTGTTCTTTCTACTAGAATGAAGAAACTTACTGAGAAGACCTCAGTCCGAATTCTGTTCTTTAAAAATGGCATGGGGCAGGATGGGCATGAGATTACAGTGGGAAAGGAAACAATGAAAAAGGTAATTTTGTATTAAATATTGAAGTATGAATTAAATTTCAAATTTTTGTAGCTTTTGAAATGTGTTTTGTCCTTCTAAATATCAATGTCAACTGATAACTGAAATATTAAGAAGGCATTATATAGAACTAAAAAATGTACCTGATTACAAGTCTGATTATTACACTAACACCATAAATTACCTTAGCAAAGCAACAATATTCCAGGGAATTATTTGGCTAACCTAGTTGGCCATTTACCTAATAAAAAGTTATGTTTATACTGGAGAAAACATTCTAATTAGTTATAATATTTTATAAGATATTTAGATGGAAGCCAGTCTAACTTTGCATCAAATCTTAAATCTGCCTGTTTTCTTTTAGAATAGTAATGAGACCTAAAAGCTCCCTTGCTCCTCAGAAGAATTATCAAAGTCCAAAATAACTAAAATTCAGTTTGATATAAATTTGATAAAATTCAGCATTCATATAAATTTTTGAAAACAAATCTGGATGGGCCTGAGAAAAATCATGAAACAATCATACAAACTTTATAAAAACAAAATTTGAAGTATTACTTATCATATAAATACATGGTTTTTTAGAAGGTACTTGTAATTTCCAGATCATCTTTGATATTAAAAAGTATGGAGGATTAATGAGAATTTGAAAAATATACACTTTTTCTTACAGATAAGGACTTTTTTTTTCTCGATCCCCAATGTGATAGCACAGATAAGGATTTTTCAACCAATCTTAAAGCAGCGTAATAATTATATAGTAACTAAAATTTATTAGGCATGTATGAGAGAGACAGTAAAACATAACCAAATATGTAGGTTTGCATCTTGGCTTCACCATTCACTAGCCATGAGACCTTGGACAACTTAGTTTCCCTGAGCCTCAATTTCTTCATCTAAAAAATGGGGATAACAATAGTGCCTATTTCATAGATTTGCTGTGAAGATTCAGTGTGATATTATTATGCATGGAGTCTAATGCCTGGCACACATAAAATTTCCAGTAAATGTTTTCTATTCTGATCTTTAAGACTCATAATATACATCTAATAGAAATTACTTTTCCTCCTAATGGGAAACAGTTATTATAAAATCAAAATCAAAATAATTTTGTTATACCAGACTATTTCAAATTGCATGTTGCTTGGAACAGGTGAATAGTTGACTAGATATTAGAAATTTTATCAAAATATATATTTCTTAATTTACTTATTTTTATGGTTGTTTTATAACCACTACTGGGTAAGAACATTTACCAAGGAGCTAAGAATCCTGGGTTTTGTTTCCTTCTTCTCTGCAGATTTGTATTATGAGTAAAATGAGGGATATTACACACCAGAGCAAATTGCTAAGACAAGTTGTGACATCTTCCTTGGAGATTTTGAAAAATAGGGAAGATGGACATATTGCTTGGATTGTTAAAATGCAGTCATTCTTGTCTATAGAAGCTAGGTTAGATAACCTCTTGAGTTCACTTCAGTTCAATCTTTGTAATTCTATGCCTCAATGGTAAAATTGGGGTAATAGTTACTCTTACAGATTATATGTTCTCAGATGAAAGGTTGAGTATAAATAAAAATGTCACTGCTATTTTGCTTTTTGTCTCTAGAGAGCAATTTATTTAAAACTGAATGATCAAGGCAGTCTTTCGCTTATTTTTTCTTTTTACAATTTGTAGAATTTAAAGAATTTTCATAATTTATGAAACTCACCATAGAACATGATATAGTAGTAAATGTATTTGTAATATTTGCCTGAATATCACCTTATGAGGTAAGATAGTAGGTAACAAAATGCTGATCTTGGGTGTTGATAAGAACTTTTCGGAAGAGAAAAAGAGAACTAGCTAATTATTTTGTAAATAAAATTTAAATTTTGGAAGCTTTGTTGATAATCATAGGATAATGCCCTATTTGTAGATTAAATATCAAATCAGCAATGGAAATAAGGAAGTAGCATAGTCATAGGAGAAACACAAATTATTTTCCCTTTTATGATAAAATATTAGGAATGTTAGCTATTTTTAGATTACTACAAAGTAATATAAAACTGAAGTAGAATGTAAAGGACTCTAATATGGTGAAGGTTATTGCATTAGAGTAAGGAGAGAATTATTGAGGATGTGAGGCAAAATCAGGTAGTTAAAGCATGAAAGTCCTTTATGCACTCAGAATAGAGCTGAGGGGAAATGACTGTATTTTAATCATCAGTGGAAAATCAGAAGGAAATCCACTTATTTATTTTAGAAAGTAATTAAGTTTGATATGAGGGTGAAAATGATATATTTCTTCACAAAACTCTGGAATACCAGAACTATAGCACATCCCTTTGAAATTTGAATCTGATGGTTTCAGAATGACTTGACATGGCTTTAATAATCACATGGCACTTGCTGCTATAGGGTATAGTCTAAATGTATATTCATGGGTATATTCAAAAAAGGTATTAAGAAAAATTTGTGGGTATAAGATACCAAATGAATGGGAAATGGAAAATGTCTGCTATGGATAGATGCTTTAAGGTTAGCACTGTAGTGGATAAGTTTTATTGTTGCCCAATACATCTCTTGGATTCATTGTCAGAGAAGTGGTATTAAGCCGTGTGGATTATATTATTATCCAGGATATCATTTCCTTCATGAAAAATGTTTTTTATTCTCAACAGTTAATAATTATTTATTATTTGTTTTTCTTTGGTTTTCCATATACTGTTACTAACATGCAATTATAGTGGTGAAGAAAATGATGAAAAAGATAATGAAATGAATGAAACAAAAAGACCCCTGTCTTCTTCCTCCAGTTTGAACTGGTTGTTCTCTATGACCTCTATCCTGGGATCTCTCTTCACCATCCCTGGGGATTATTGTTCCCCCTTTCCGGTGTTGGATGGCTTTTTCCTACTTCCTTAGTTTGCCTGTATTATTTACTCTATTGTGCACATATTCTAGAGCAGGCGTCCTCAAACTGTAGCCTGTAGGCCACATGCAGGTGTTTTTGCCCATTTGTTTTTTATTTCAAAATCAGATATGTGCAGTGTGCATAGGAATTTGTTCATAGATTTTTTTTTAACTATAGTATAGCCCTCCAACGGTCTGAGGGACAGTGAACTGGCCCCCTGTTTAAAAAGTTTGAGGGCCCCTGTCTAGAGGCTTCTCAAAAAAGAGAACATGGAAGGTAAATGTTTTGAGATCTTGGGAAGTAATGTTTTCCTACAAATATTAAAGGTATTGCTCCATTGATTCTTATTTCTAGTGTTGCTGTTGAGAAGCCTGATACTTACTGATTATTTATCATTTGTAAGTGACACAAAGGATGAAACATTTAGAATCATCTCTTTATTGAGAGTGTTCCAAAATTTTCCAAGATGTGCTGGATACTCAGGGTATCTTCTCAGTCTGAAAAGTCTCATATTTTCTTCCTATCTCAATTGATCATTTTACCTGGTCTCTTGGAATTTATACACTGTAATTTGGAAAACAGTGTTAGGTTATTTGAATGAGAACAGAATACTTTCTTCTATCACCTGGAAGCCTCATATACTTAACTGCAGGCAAAGTATGGTCCACAGAACATCTGCATCAGAATCTTCTAGGCTTTGTGTTAAAAATTCAGACTCTGGAACCCCACTTCAAGCCTATTGAGGAATCACTAAGCATGGTGCCTAGGAATCTGAATTTTAACAAGTGTCTCCAACTGATTCTTAGTCTCACTAAAGTTTAAGAACTCTTGTTCCAGTGTTGTAAAACTTCAAACTTATTAATTGATGGAAATCTTCATAGACTTCTTTTTTGCTTGTTCTCCTATACATCTCATGTGATTTAAGAGAAAGAAAATAACTTGTGAGACAGAAAAAAGAGGTTGCAAGAAATTAGATAACTAGTTGATAGATTAGAATGAGTGTAAGAAGTTCAGTAATCAGGAAATGGGAAACATCTAAAAATTGTCAGAAAGTGAGTAATCTATGTGTAGCAAATCTGGTTTAGAAAAAATAAATACTCCTTTCCTTTTTGTATGTAAACATATTTCATCATAATTACTTTTCCCTATTATTACTGAAAAACCACATACATATTGAAGAAATTACTCGTATATAACTATCAGGGTACAAGTAAATAATAGACTTTATCAGATGCCTTTAAACCAGTGGAAAATCCAGACTTCTATGATTTTTTACCATTCGTTAATTTGCAAAATAACTCAATATGCCTAAACCAAAAAAAAAAAAAAAGAAAAAAAATTTTCAAGTTTAAGAAAGGCCCAATTCAATTGAAAAAATACAATATTTTCACATAAATAGTGTAAGATTGTGGAATGTTCACACACAAATCAGTAACTATACCGGCAGAGATTTTCTCAATGTTTGGGTAAAATAATTTTAAGAACATTTTAAGAAATTAAAAAAGGAGCACCTGGAGTAATGAAATTTGATTAAGGATGCTCTACATGGATTTCGACAGGGGAGGTCATGCATAATTAGTATGTTGGAACTTCTTTAAAGAGCTTTTTGTGAAATATGAGGAAAAGTCCATTGATATTATTATTATGTAAAAATTAGTCTAACTTTTTTACATAACGAATTAATATGTGATTAAAAACATAAAAGCAGATTTTTTAAAAAAAATATGGAATTTGATGATATAGTCAAGAGGCTATGAATAGCCAACTGTCTGCTCTTAATGTGAATTTCTACAGTTATACAATTGGGTTATTTTAGAACATTGTAAGTGTTTAGTAGTACACATTTTTTTCTTGAATAAAATCCTAGAAAAACAAAAATGTGAATTTCCTTAATGGAAATAAAAACAAATGAGAACTTTCAGCCTCAATATTTATTTACTTTAATGATGATAGTTAAGGACAGTTCTTAATATTATTTATGGGCAGGTTAAAACATAAACATGATATTAAACCTGAAAAGGTAAAATTTATTTCTGTTTTTGTATTAAAGTTATTTAATAGTTTTTATGTATACATTTCATATTTTTAGTACATTTTAATTGCTAA